CCATTAACTCATAATTTTAGAGTATAAAGATCTTAAAGTCGTTTATTTTTCATTATACCACTCTTCCATTATTATATATATAGACCCATGCTAGTTTTGGTTCTAAATATATGACTTAATTTGTAGTACAATTTACTCTATAAACTAAGTCTTATATTTAGAACCAAAAATAGCATATACAAAAAACAATTTACTAATATTTTTTTATCAAATATAAAAAATATTACACAGTTCAATGAAAATTTGATGCGATCCTTTTTTCCAAAAACGCCAATGAGTGCTCCCCCTTTATAATGTAACGATAGACTATAGCTAAACTGCGTTTAATGATGGCAGAATAAGAAAAAATATTTTCAGACATCCAACTAGGCAACTACTTTTAATTATTTACTTTTCTGATCCTCAATATAAAACTTATTTTATAGTATATATTATATTATAAAATAAGTTTTATATTAAAAACAGAAAGTAATACTATACTTAATAAATTAATGCTTGATCAGTCCAAATGAAACTGCCCCGTTAAAGTGTCCAAGAAAGTTATCCTACAATGAAGGTGAAATGATAGCAGCACCAATACAGGTTTAATTTTCAAGTCTATTTAACTTAGCACTTCTTTGACCCCAAAAAAAATAAATAATAGCACTTCATATGGACGCCAAAACAATGGCACCTTTTCAGCCCTTTTTTTTTTCCAATTATAATTTTCGCACTCATCGATCATGATACTACTTCCAATCTTAATTATAAGAGCCAGTTGACTACTTTGAGGAGATTAAGAAAATAAGTTGAATTAGTTATTTGTCTTAAATAGGTGTTTTATTTCTTAAAATATTCTTACTAATCAAGTGTATTAACTAGAACTATAATTATTAGAAAGACTATCTTGAAAAAAATTGAGTAAATATGAGAGACAAAGTGGATTGAAATCTTATGTTTAGGACTAAAATAAAAATCAAATAGAGTCTTATATTAAGAATCGAAGGTAGTACCATTTACTAAAAGTTCAATCTTATAACCTCACGTTTAAGAAAAGTTTAAGAGAAGTGCTAGGTGTCAGTAGTTCTAGCCATAAGGTAAGATCATTGCAGCTTTGTGACGACTCTTCTCAGTCTAATATAATTTATTACATGGGGCCAAAACACACGGACTTTGCTGATTTATATTTCCTGGGTTAGCCGCAATTTTAATCATGGTTACTGCGTCTTCTTGCTAATAAGTAATATTGTATATTTAGTTATATTAATAATCACTTTAAGATGAATAATATGGCCGTGAAGTTTGGAATACACTTTAATTTGCCTTGTTTTGAGAGAAATTTCTACATTGTTGGGGCAAAAGGATATTCATGACAAACCAATCATAACTGATTAAGTCGTGGACCTTAGTTGACTCAGAATTTTATAATATAATAATTACCATAAAGCAAACTTAGGTTGATGGGAGTGGTTTTGATACTTGATCAAAAATAAATTGATTTAACTCAAACACGCCAAGAAATTTCCAGGAAATAGCTAGTGATCAGTTGTTATCAATCTTTGTATAATCCTTTGGTCAAATTTTCTTCAGTAAGGACTTCAAGGTCTCTCTTTCGAAAGCAATTGGCCAAGGTATTTCTTGACGACAAGTGCTACTCCCCCCCCCCCAATGATTTTCCGTTTTTCTTGAATATAATCCTTCTTGTTTTGTTTTGTTTTTTTGCTCTAAGGTCTCGTAGAAAGTTTGTTGTTCAACATTAGTATTTTCTTATAGCAGTTGAATGGAGCTTTCCACGAAACTGTATCAATTTGAAATTAGAGCGCAGGTGATAGTTCTAACTTGAAGCTTGGGACGTAAATACGTACTTTTTCTTTGGCGTGGTGTAGATCGATTGGAAATTAGAGTGAAAATGATTGTTATTGAATGTTGACCATGATGGAGCTTGGGCCATTCATTATGACGGATCATATTATACTTCTCTTGTTCTTAATAGAAGACGTAGTTAACTAATTTGATTATATTAAAGAAGTTAGGTAAGTTAGTTAATTATAAGAAATGTGACACATTTTTCTTATAACACCATAATTATTTTTCTTAATACCACATCTCCCTTTTCTACTTGATTATAGTTGAGGGAGTATCCATAGGGATAATTTAAAAAAAATAGATAAATATAAGAAATGAGTCTTATATTTAGGATTAAAACCAACTCAATAATTAGGTCATATATTAAGGACCGGAGGAGTACTTCTATTTGCCATTTTCTAATTCCTTGGCTCTCTAAGCCACTTTAGATACCTGCATTAATTCCTTTCGTTGAATTTTCTTCGGTAAAGGCCCCAAGGGCTTGCTTTTTGCTTTTAGCTAGGTGTCATAGAAAATTTTTTGTTCTTCATATTGGAAGGAGCTTTCCTCGAAGTTGCATATTTGAAATTAGAGTGCAGGATGGTGAATTTCGAACCTAGCTCAGGACGCAGGTACATACTTTTGTCTCACATGTGGAAATTAAATTAGAGTGAAATCAAAGAGTTGGTGATCAGTTGTCGTTTTGTTATGTGATGCCCCCCCTTTGGTTGAATTTTCTTCGGTAAAGACCCCAAGGTCACCTTTATGAAAGCAATTGGCCAAGGTATTTCATGATGACAAGTACTATTTTTTTCCAATTTTTTTTTTTTTTTTATTACTATAATCCCTTTTTTGTTTTGTTTCTTGCTTTTAGCTAGGTGTCATAGAAAATTTTTTGTTCTACATATTGGAAGGAGCCTTCCGCGAAATTGCATATTTGAAATTAGAGTGAATTTCGAAGCTAGCTCGGGATGCAAATACATACTTTTGTCTCACATGTGGAAATTAAATTAGACTGAAAATGATGGTTGTTATTGAATATTGACCGCGGAGCTCGGGCTACTCATTATTATGTGGGATCAGATTATGCTTTTAATTTCTTCCCATTTTCTCAAACAACTTAGCTTATTAAATAGAGTGAATATCATAGTTGAGAAAAGTCCGGGTATGAATATGATTGACAGGCCCACCGCATTTTTCTTGAGGAATTATTAAAAATAAGATTACTCGTATTGGGTATAAGGTTTCTTAGGATAATGCATTTTTGTCCACTATTGGCGACAATTAAGCCATTCGCTACTTGAAAGCACATAATTTGAGTTTCTAATTAGATATGAAAAAAGGGAGTGAGGAAGAGAGGGATTGAAGTTAATGAAGCCCTTTTCTGCAATTTAATGAAGTGGGTCATGTCCAGTACCACAACACGCACTCACCCTTCCATAATTTAATGAAGGGGTTTAAGTTTGAACTAAGAAGCATCAGACGTTGGGCTGTATCTTGAGCATTGAGCCTGATCAAACGGAGAGCCCATTACGACCCATAATATCTGATCTTGATGTGCCTGTTATCGTTTTCATTTTTTTTTTCACTTTTTCATTAACTCTTTTAAAAATATGAAAAATTAAAAGTCGACATACCTTTTAGAAAACTTAGGGGGTGTTTGGAACACCCCATAATCACTTTTCAGAAGCACTTTTCCGCAAATCGAGACAAATTCATCCATATATTTACCTCGTATACCGTAAAAGCACTTCTGAAACCATAGTTTTGTTCTTATCCAAACACCCCCTTAATGTGGATGATTCGATATTGTATTAATATTAGATTTTTGACTTATTATCTTGTTCCCACCACGTGTCATTAGTTTGAATTCAGAGTGAAAACGAGGGATGTACTTAAGATGGTTGTTAAGCTTCTTCTTGGAAAATCAGTTATTTGAATTTCGACCCTGTGGCGGCAAAAGGAGGAATTTGTCATGTTGACGGGAGTATAAATTATTTAATTTAAACACGGCAACAAATTTCTAGGAAATAATTAATTAGTGAGTTGTTTTATATCAATCCTTTCCTTTTTGTTTTGTGATGTTCTTTCTTTGGGTGAATTTTCTACAGTAAACTTTTCAAGATCTCCCTCGTAAGACCAAGTGGCCAAGGTAATTACTGCTGATATAAGTACTATATTTTTCAATGAATTTTTTTTTTGTTTTTCTTGAATATAATCCTTTTTGTTTCGTTTTTTGCTTTAAGATCTCATAGAAAATATTTTGTTATATATTGAAGAGAATTTATTTATAGTCGTTGAACGGAGCTTTCCAGGAAACTGCACATTTGGAATTAGAGCGCAGGTGATAGTGATTCTCAAAGCTGGGGACGGAAATGCATACTTTTCTCTGTCATGTGGAAATTAGAAAATAAGAGTGAAAATGATAGTTGTTGAATATTGACCGCGGAGCTTGGGGCATTCATTATGTGGGATCAGATTATACTTTTCTTTGCCTTTTTTTTTTTTTTGAAACAAGTTATTAAATAGAGTGAAAATAATAGATGAGAAAAGCCCCGGTATGTATATGATTGACAGGAAAATGAAAGATTGCATATTAATTAGAACGTGCAAAAACAAGTTAATTAATTTAATTATATAAAAATTACACACTCTCAACAGTTATGTCTATACATTCTAACAGATCGTAACAGCAGCAAGTCAGTACTGTGTCCGGCATTATCAATAATTTCTTTTGTTTTTCTAAATGATATTTTTTCCTTTGGTTGAATTTTCTTCAGTAAACGATCTTTAAGGTCTCCCTTATGAAATGAACAGAGCAAGGTATTTCTTGACGACAAGTACTGTTTTTCTTCAATGATTTTTTTTCGTTTTTCTTGAATCCTTTTTGTTTCTCAGAGAAAAAATTTGTTCTACATGATTATTTTCTTAAAGTAGTTGAATGGAGCTTTCCACGTAATTGCATTAATTGGAAATTAGAGAGCATGCAGATGATAGAGAGTAAAGCTTGCCGGGACGCAAATACCTACCACTCTTTGCCGTGTGGAAACTAAATTAGAGTCAAAATGATCACATTAAGAGGGATCAGCAATTATCTCTATAAATACTAGCCAATAGATTCATCAATAATGTGTCTAGCATATTATCAACTCAGTAGAGATACACTTGCGAAAGAAATGGGGATTATGTGGATGGGTTTTCTGAAATTGCTAGTGTTAGCTATGATAGTGTTTGAGGTTTGGAGAGCTATGGGTGCTGATGAGGTTCAATGCATAGAGAAGGAGAGGGAAGCCTTACTTCGCTTTAAGGCTGCTCATGGGAATGATTCTTCCCTTGTCAGATGGTCTTCATGGGGTAGCAAACAGCACAAGACAGATTGCTGTGAATGGGAGGGAGTCTTCTGCAACAACCAAACTGGCCATGTCATCAAGCTCCATCTTCCTGCTGATTTTCCATCGTTCCCCTTGAAAGGTGAGATCGATGCGTCACTGGTGGAGTTACAATACCTGATGTATTTGAACCTTAGTTTCAATAATTTTGAAGACAGCTCCATCCCCGAATTCCTTGCCTCTCTAACACACTTAAGATACCTTGATCTCCACTATTGCGGTTTAAGTGGAGCCATACCTCATCAGCTTGGAAATCTCTCGCAGTTGAGGTATCTTGATCTCTCAGGCAATTACCATCTTGGAGGAGCAATACCTCGTCAACTTGGAAATCTCGTGCACCTCCAGCATGTCGATCTTTCGGGAAATAATTTTACAGGATCAATACCTCATCAGCTCGGAAATCTCTCGCAATTGAGGTATCTTGATCTCTCAGGCAATTACTATCTTGGAGGAGCAATACCTCGTCAACTTGGAAATCTCGTGCACCTCCAGCATGTCAATCTTTCGGGAAATAATTTTACAGGATCAATACCTCATCAGCTCGGAAATTTCTCGCAATTGAGGTATCTTGATCTCTCAGGCAATTACTATCTTGGAGGAGCAATACCTCGTCAACTTGGAAATCTCGTGCGCCTCCAGCATGTCGATCTTTCGAGTAATAATTTTACAGGATCAATACCTCATCAGCTTGGAAATCTCTCACAATTGCAGTATCTTGATCTCTCATATAATAGTCTTAGCGGAGTAATACCTTATCAGCTTGGAAACCTCTCCCACTTGAAGTATCTTGATCTCTCACATAATACTCTTAGCGGAGTAATACCTTATCAACTTGGGAACCTTTCCAACTTGCAGAATCTTCTTCTACGCTTTGCAGGTACTCTCCAGATTGATAGAGAAAATGGTGCTGCTAGACATGAGTGGCTGTCTAGTCTTACTTCTTTGACCCTTCTAGAGCTGGGAAATGTGATTGATCCTGAATATTGTCACAAGTGGTTGCAAATGATTGCAAAGCTGCCCAACTTGAAAGAGCTAACTATAGTATACAATGATTTTTCAGATGAGTGTATCCTCTCCTTACCCTCTTTAAAATTCAATTCAACTTCTTCTCTTTCTAAATTGGATTTCACGGGGAATAATTTCAAGTCATCTGCAGTATTCCATTGGATCTTAAATATCAGCACCAACCTGCTTGATCTTAGTCTTCCTTCCAACCACCTGAAAGGTCCAATCCCTTATGAATTTGCTAGTACCTTGAATTCTCTTGAGAATCTAGACCTTAGTCGTAATGAAATCACTGGCACACTGGTAAACCTTTCCACATGCCCATCTTTAAAGAATCTTGACATTTCAAGGAACTCGTTGAATGGGACAATACCCAAAGATTATCAATTTCCCTCTTCACTGGTGTCATTGGATATTAGTTTCAACTCCTTAAAAGGCATTCTCACAAACTCAAATCTTGCCAATTTGCACAACATGAAACTTTTAGACCTATCTGATAACTCATTGACTTTGAGATTTAGTCATGATTGGGTCCCGCCATTTCAATTACAAGCCATCCATGTGCGGTCATGCAAGCTAGGTCCTGATTTTCCGAAATGGTTGCAAACTCAAAATAATTTCACGGAACTTGACATTTCAAATAATGGAATTTCAGGCACTATTCCAGAGTGGTTTTGGGGTTTGTTGACACCACAGCTTCGATACTTGAATGTTTCATGCAACAACATTTCTGGTACATTGCCAAATCTTGCCATTGAATTCGGTGAACTCACTATTATATCTCTAGCTTCGAATCACTTTGAAGGCTCACTTCCAAAATTTCTACAAAATGCAATGGCCCTTTTTGTGTCAAATAATAGTTTTTCAAAACTTCACACATTTTTGTGTGCAAACATGTCAAGTAAAACATTGGAGATATTGGACCTTTCTGATAATCAATTATATGGACAGCTTTCTAATTGTTGGAGTCCTTTCAAATCATTGAAGTTTTTAGACTTGAGTAACAACAATTTCTCTGGAGAACTTCCTATTTCTGTTGGTTCTCTACAACATCTTGAAGTATTAATCTTGAGAAACAATGGGTTTACCGGAGAGTTGCTCATTAATTTGAGTAATTGCTCAAATTTAGTAGTTCTTGATGCGGCGGAAAACAAGTTCTCTGGATATATACCTTCACAAATTGGGAATAATGATGGATTGCAAAATTTGAGAATTTTAATCTTACGAAATAATAACATTTCTGGAAGCTTGTCAACTCATCTTTGTTATTTATCAACCCTTCAATTTTTGGACCTCTCTTTGAACATTTTATTTGGACAAATCCCCAAATGCTTCAAAAAATTCACACAAATGGCTCTAGACAGTGCACATTATTCTGATGGTGTTTCTTTGGGTGGTTTTTCTCTTTCTTATGGAAAAGTTTATTTTGACATTGATCCAATTGCAATGCTGATGTGGAAACACCAAGAACGTATATTCAAGCATAGCACATTAGTTAGAGGCTTTGATCTTTCAAGCAACAAGTTAAGTGGAAAAATTCCACGAGAATTAGGAATGTTAGATGGGTTGATATCATTAAATTTATCAAGAAATCAATTAGATGGAGAAATTCCTTCTGAGATTGGACGTTTAACATCATTAGAGTCTCTTGATCTGTCTAAAAACCATCTCTCTGGTTCAATTCCTTCTAGTTTTGCTCAGCTTAATTATCTAGCAGTGTTAGACTTGTCATCTAACAACCTTTCTGGGAAAATTCCAACCAGCACACAACTGCAAAGTTTTGATAACTCGAGCTATGAAGAAAATCTTGGCCTATGTGGAGAACCACTTGAGACAAAGTGTCCTGGGGAGGAAGAACCTCAAGAATCAGTTAAACTCCAAGAAAATACTGATTCAATTCTTTCTAAGGAGTTTTATTGCAGTATGGGGTTTGGATTTGTTGTTGGATTTTGGGGAATTTTTGGGCCAATACTTTTTAATCGCTCCTGGAGGCACGCGTACTTCAAGTTTCTCAACAATTTGACTGATTCTATCTATGTTATGGTTGTAATGAAGGTGACAAAGTGCAATAGGTGGCTTAGAGGTTATCTGGTAATACTTTCTACTCATATCAATTCTTGCTTTTATAGGTTTTTCATACTTACTATTAATTAGTTTCTACTCTATATACCTGTGCTTTTAAATTTAATTTCTATGCATTTAGTATTTAACTCCACTTATAATTATGTAGTATTATATCTTATAAACAACCGGTCAAGCTTACCGTTTTTATTATCATTAAGCAGTTAAATCAACTTAAAATTTATGGTGCTGGTGTAATAACACACACACACACAAAAACAACTAAAAAATTTACGTTTGGGGAACAAAGTATTTATGAAATTTAAGTATAATTATATGGACAATGTCAAATTCATGTTATGCATAATTATTATGTGATGAAAATAAATATCTATAGCCTACCACTAGTGAAAGGTTTTATAGCATGACAAATTAATCATAAAACGCCTCCGCTCTTTTAATTTTAATTTCTAGTTTCTCTATCTGTCGTAATGTAATTATTATTTTTCTATTGTCCTTAACATCGAGCTACTTGGTTGCTTGCTTTTTGCAGGAGAAACTACAGTGAACATCTTCAAGCTCAAAAGTGGGGCTACATGTAGAGCAGGAGACATGATGGGCTAAGAGTTTGCTAGAAGACCAAGATAAACTGATTGCAATGTTCAAGTAGTTAGTAATTACTAAATTAAATAATTGAACGTTAAAGCATATTGTTAAGTACTGTTTGTTTTATGGTGTTATGATTATGGTATCAAACAATGATAATCCATTGTAGTCCATGTTCATAAGATATTATTATTATGATACTTCTCCGGTCCTTAAACATAGGACCTGATTGTCAAATTAATTTTGGTTCTAAATGTAACACTTATTTCTTATATTTATCAATTTTTTTCATAAATTATCTTTATAGATATTTCCTTAACTATAATTCAATGAGAAAGCAAAGAGGATATCAAGAAAGATGATTATGGTGTTTTAGAAAAAAACAAGTTATTTTTTTTAATTAACTAACATATCTAACTTTATTAATTTAATTAAATTAGTTAAATAGGTCTTATATTAAAGAGAAGAGAAGTATAAAAAAACTGAATTGAAAACACATATAGCAGTGTACAACTGTACATGAACTGAAAGAAGGCACAGGGGCGGGTTGTGTCACTGTATACATGATACAGATTGTGACATATCCATCTCATCAACTACCGGAATTTGGCATTAGGTAATTTGTTTGATTTACCCTTTACTTTTTCTTCTCTTCTTCTGCCCGAATTTACGCCTACTTCATTACACTATATATTCGAAATTATGGATTTAAAACAACGTTGCTGTCCTAACAAAGGAAGACAGAACTAATGTGTTTCCATGGTTCATGTCTCAGGGTAGGAGATCCTCTGTTTCTGGATTCAGGACAGAGTAACGTGTTGTGGTTATGCTTTCTCTTTCCACGTCACTATTTTTATCTTTCTTTTGTTTGTCAAAGATAACATTAATTAATTTCTTTGTCAAAAATAAAGAAAATTAATTTATTTCTTGAAGGCATGCCTGCTTTTGGTGCAGCATAATTTATTAATTCTTAAGTCATTTTAGCTAACCTATTGAAGAACGATACATGAACTTATATATAGAATTACACCTCCTAATTAGTTAATTAGTATTGATGCTACTTCAGTCTAAGACAATTTTAGGTGTATAAGCACCCCCTCGTGCATTTTGCTTGTCCAGTGTCTTATTCCATTATTCTTGTTTCTTTTCCAAACATTCCCAATGTTTCATATAAAAAAGAATTTTCATCATTAAAATTTTTTATTATAACTATCTAGTACCCAATGTTTCTTATCATTTTAATACCAAAATTTGTTTTTAATATAATTTCTACTATTTGTAAAATCCAAACACAAAGACCGTTTTCTATCCAATATAAATTTACTTTTTTTTTTTTAAATTAAGGTGTGGCGGAAGGGGAATTGAAGATTTGTTTTTTCCCCCTGCCAGAAGGCAAAGTTGTTTTGTACTTGATTATAAATTGATTGTGAATTAATTTTTGTTAGTCACTTAATTATGTTATTTTCTTGTTCTTGTTTTTTTCCCCCTTGCTGTTTTTGTTAGTAATAATCACTCATCTTTTTCTTTTAACGAGGTTGATAAATTCGCGTGAAAAGATATTTTTGAGAGTTTAGTATTGTGAAGACATAAATTTTTCAGCGAAACTCTTGGGGAAGCGAAGAAAATTGACAAGGTCAGTTATATTCACGGTTTAAGGAATTACAAGCAGTCACATACCACCCACTCCCTGACTCCCACTTGCCTCGTTTTCTGTCCATTTTCCTTTGATCTCCACTCACGCCAGGTCCTTCTTCTTCTTCTGATGCGAGACAGAAATCGCGTGTTATCCGAATCAAAGAAGAGTAAACAACTCTCTCATGCGTCCAACCCAATTCAATCTCCGGATTGTAGTTAATCCGGTGTTGCAGCTATGCCTACCGCCGTCTGTTGCCGTTCATCCTCTCTTCCTTCCGCCTCTCTTTTCCTGCCCGACAACTCTAGGGTTTCGCTTCTGAAGCGTCCCTTAGTCCGGCTATCGCTTCACTGGACCTCCCCTCGTCTTCGATTTCAATCCAGGTTTCCAATTAACGTAAGATTTCGGTCTATTTGTGTCTGCCTATGCATTAATTGAATTTGAATATTGTTCTTTGGCTGCTTGGAGAATTAAGGGTTATTAAAAGAAGGAATAAATGGAGATTATCAGGAAGTAAAGGTGTTCTTCAATGGTATAGAGTGGAAAGTTTCAATATCTAATCTTTCACCTACCTTTATTGGCATCGGCCTTCTGCCGTGCGCACATTATAAGAAACAAAACTAGTGCATATCACTAAGGAAGCAGTGTCGACTTTGTAGATGTCTTGTATCCAATTACGAATACATGTCACAATGTCTATAGAGTGTTAGACTATTAGGTCGTCGTGGCAGATTGTTCCCAATAGGTGCGTCTGTTTAACCAGAAACAAAATTAAATTTAGTATTCAGGGGCGCTTTGAAGTAGGAACATATAATGTGATATGCAATTATCAGTTTTGCAATGATAGCCCAAGTGCTCTTCAACATTAACCCATTTGCGAAGGGGCATAGAAGATGTTTTGCATAAAAATATCACTTTTTTTTAATTCAATTTTATTCTCAGCTTGACCTCATATCGAGTAACAGATATGGTTTTGATCTTCAAATTATCAATGGCAAACCTGATTTGGAGCGGTGGGGTGGGGATATGAAAGATAATGCTATTGCTATGATTTTAATGAGAAGTCAACCTTTATACATTGAGTGCTGATTTACTTCTGTTTGATGCTTCATAAATCTGCACTTATCAGCATACTCAAAACTTGAGCTTGCTGAACTTGGTTCACCTTTGACCCTAAATTTTGAGTTAACCTTTAAAATTTAGCAAGACAAAGTCATGGGCTAGCCTCATATCTTATATATGTCAATATATGCTTGGTAGTATTCATGCTCGCCATCTTCAGCATAGGCTTCTTAAGGTAGAGAAGACTTGGCATTTACTGTCATTGACTGTGGCAGATTTTGTTGTTGTATGGTCAAATACTATGAAGCCCACAATTGCAGTAGATCACAAAATTACAGGGCAGGAGAGACATACAGCATGAGACAAGAAACCCAGTAAATGACAGTAAATGGGGAACAGAAACCCATCCTGTAGTCTGCATTAGAGTCATGGAGAAAAGAAAATAATGGTGATTAGTTGCCTATTTTGAGGTTACAGGATTTGTTAAAAGGAAGCTAAGGTTAGGATTTCAATCATTGGCATCCACTCTATTTAGTTGATAACTAAAGAAATCATAATCTACAAGGACAATAATATATTATTATTCGTAAGGCTAAGGGATCCTGTCTTTCACTTTATTTAATCTTAGGATGTTTAGTGGACCTCTTTTGAAAGGTGGGAATGTGCCAAGACATGGCACTATGGCAGTGAATTTAAGAATTGTTAAATTCAGTGTCTATGACACAAAATACAAAGTACCTAACTTCATTGCATTTTTTATGTACAATTTCTTCTGTTCACACCCTATTCGACTAATATCTCTGAGCATCTAATTTGTGCAATTGATTAAGAATCGTCTTATTGAGGAAAATATATGATTAGCCACTGCGTGAAATTGATATGCTAGGGTTTAATTTTGTCTTCTTTCTATTACCCTAACTTCAATTATCACTACATTCTAGAAATGGAGAGTTTCCTGTTATAGGCATGAAAACTTTTCATCTGAGGATCCTAGCTCAGAGCTCACTGAGGATGCATTTTCAGAAGATTTGGTGAAGTCCAACTGTGACCAATCCAAAGACGTAAATAGAGATTGGCTTTCAAATATTCATAAGGTATTGGTTTCATGTATGGAGAATCTTGTATGAAAAGGAAAATGATTTGTTTGTTATCTCTTACTTTCCATCTTTTTACTTTGAACCAAATATTAGAAGTTGTAGCACTTACAAAGTGTTGCTTTTATACATTTTCTAGCTTTTTCATTAACATTTGTTACCGATCTCACTTGGTGAGGTAAGGCTTGTTATTGGTATTGCAGTTGTTGTTTTCTAACATTTATCCTATTGCTTGCGCATTTTGGGATCTCTGTGTGTGTGTGTGTTCCCATTTGTATACTTGTACACATTATAGTGATTCAGCCAAGATAGGCTTTGTTTCAGTGCTAAAGCTTGGATAACATCTCAGCGACTTAGTGGATTGATTTAATCACTATTTGTTTTACCCATAGTTATTTTAACCTTGAATCCTTTAGAGCGGTTTTGGAATAGAATGATTATACTAATGGCATCGTTCAATCCATGTAACTTGCCTCACTTGGTCGAATAAGGCTTACTATTGTTTTGTTAATGATTATGCAAATCTTCTTATTATCTTTGGAAGCTTCAGGAATAGTGAGGGCAGTGTTTGCTGGTCTTTCAGGGTGCAAATGCAATTCTTGGCATGGAACCTTGGATAGTCCCCTGGACAGGGAAGACCATTATTCAGGTAAAGCATATTCTTTATGTTATCCTTAACGTTGATGGTTGACTAGTTAGCATGAAGGTTTTCTATGCTTTCATTTTTGAGGCATGAACAGAGTCATGAGTTTCTTCCATTTGATTTCTTGAAGTTTCTGAATCGATATAATTCACTTCAGTTAGAAAATTGGAGATGGATGTTAGTAATAAATACCAGCATGTTACACTATCTGGCTGATTTAGTGACTACCAAATATGTTGCTGCTCAAAAGAAAAAAAAGAATTTCAGGAAAATTTACATTTTTGTGCTATTTGGAAGTTAATGCAGTCAATGTAGAACCTATTATCTATTTATGTAATCATTACTATTCTTGGGTAAATCTCATTAGCAAGCTGAGGAGAGTCCATCCTACCAGGGAATGAATTGTGTCTCATATGGTATGCATATTGGCAGGCAGGTCAGAATATGAATATAGTAGCCATTAATGATGCCTCTCTTTTTAATAATTTAGTGAATAGGAGATTCAATGCCTCTGCTTATTATGGTGTTGCATTATTCTTAAGCTATCTATGATTTCTTTGGCATATAAATTTGAGGCCTTTTATGTAGCATTTTTCATTTATTTTAATCGTATTATTGCTTACATTATTACATTTAGAGCATCGACTGAATTGGGTTTTCCAGGTTATGCTGCTATGGATTGCGTCATTTTGGTTAGTAGGATCCTGGATAGTTCCGTTTCTGTCATACACAGCAGGGTTCAGAAAAGAGTCTCTTACACACAGAGGACAGGCTTTGTACAGCCTCTTGACAGATTTTGCTGAAGGTTTGGTTGGGATAGCAATACTTCAGCGCTGTCTCGCAAAGTTTCAACCACTTCCATCCGACTGGTTCCAATTAGGACTCAAAGGCAAATGGCTGTTTGATGTTGGTATAGGCTGCTTCATGTTCCCCCTTATCAACCAGCTGTCCCAAGTGAATCTAAATTTACTGCCCATTCTTCCATCTACTCCTGTGACTATTTCAAGTGTAGAACAATCAATTGTGGCAAGAGACCCAGTGTCCATGGCCCTATACGCAGTGGTGGTCTCAGTTTGTGCCCCCATATGGGAAGAGATCGTCTTCCGAGGTTTCCTACTTCCATCTTTAACAAAGTATATGCCTGTATGGTGTGCCATACTAGTTAGCTCTGTTGCTTTTGCCTTGGCACATTTTAATTTGCAGAGAACGCTGCCTCTTGTATTTCTTGGCATGGTGATGGGTGTTGTGTTTGTAAGGTCCAGGAACCTCTTACCATCAATGTTGTTGCATAGTTTGTGGAATGCTTTTGTATTTCTTGACCTCATGAAATGAAAGATTGTACATGATTTTTCCAGCTTTACCTTCTTCTCCACTCTATTCCCTGTATTGAGCCTGCTTAATATTGCTTATTTTATTAGCAAAAAGATTTAGTTTGTGTAAACTCGCCCTTCAGCTCGAACTGATATTCATAGGTTGAGAGAGTTTTTTTTTTTGGTAAGTTCTTAGTCTTTTGTAACATCAGTGGTAATGATCATTTCGCAAATTGTAATAAATGTCATTGATCTTGCTTGCAATATGCAAATATCTTCTTTTACCGGCAAAAATATGCAAATAACTGCCCCATTCCCCATGGATAAAAAGTCTCACATCAAGGTTTTAGGCGAAACTTAACTACTGTGAGAAATAGTTTTCACACACAGAGCTCTCCCCCCCCCCTCTCTCTCTCTGTATTTTTTTTTTGGGTCATGACACGTGCGAATTTCTTCTCTTCCCCCCACTCTTTCATTAAAAGTTGAAGGCTAAACCACCTAAGGCGAGGGGCAGCCGAACAGCTTGAATGCATGCGCAAAATTGGAATCAAACTTATATGACAATTTAAATTTAGATTTTACTTTTATCGATATACATGTTTCTTCTAAATACAAAGGCCAATTCTAGTATTATGTTATTTGCCTGTTATTCATTCATTCTTGGCACCTGAATGGAGGACTTCAAGGTCGTTTTGTTTTTCAATGACAGCGAGAATGCGATCAAATGAGATTGACATTTTGCGAGAATGCGCCGTAGAAATAGCAAAACAAAGTATAGAACAGTACAATTGTCTCAGTTTTATTGTCTCTCCATCCGCCTACACTCCATTCTCTTCGATCTCTTATTAATTACCCATTATGCATTTACTTAAAAAATTCAGTCATCTATGTCCTTGCCTATTGCTCAAGCCATTCATTCACGGTCTCTATCACTCTGGTAGCTCACTTTAACTTAAGCTGAGCTGTCTGGTTTAATGCTCCGTACTTTATCTGCAACTATACTCTTGCAGATAATTGTTCAGTACCAAAATGTAATGATATCTTATCTAGGTGGCACTCTTACCAACTGTTAAATGAATCTGGTTGTTCTCATCAAAGGGTCAATATCACTGACAGTTAGACAGAATTCTGGTACATTATGATTCCCATAAAAAATTTTCCTACTCCTTTTTGCGAGAATTTCTGTCACACTCAATTTTCTTTTGTACATGCATGATTGGTGTAACATTCTTTTCAGAATTAGACTGCATTAATGAGTGTTGGATTTACTTGCGAATGCTTATTGTCTTAAAGGCAGACATAAGAGGGGACCAGTTGTTATCAAGTCACTCTGCCTTGTCTCAAGAACCATTGTTCATGTCTGCTTCTTTATCCGACAATCCCAGGGGCCCTTGTCTGCTACATTAAAATTTCATACAATTTGCAAACCATAACTAATTAGCTTTTTTCAGTATGAAAATGACATTGTTTTCTTTTTCTTCCCCTTATCATCTAAACTTCTCAAGATTTGTGTTCAGAATCACTCAGACTGGTAGTGGATGAAATAGCATAAGTTTTCCTTACCAGGAGAATCTCATGATATTTTCTTGGTTATTTTTTTTTCCCTTTTTCCTTTCATATTTAACTGATTCAGGACAAAAAATACAGTTACGTATGTCAATTGTTGACATGTAATTTATCCATTTCCGCCTTCAACATGAGAACACTGAACATGCATCTCTTCACGTTTGGTCTGATGTTGTAACTTGTAAGTACTATAATGTTGTGCCAAGATGCTTCATATCTCATATTAATACAGTTTTATTCTCTTCTGAACTGTAATTATTCGAATCGATTAAGCCAACCCTTATTGACCAGGAGAATAGACCATTTATTTTTGTTGTTGCCCAATGTTTCGCTTTACACGCATCTCATCTCCTTAATCTGATCAATGACTCTTCCTAAATGTTGAAATGAACCTAAATGTTTACTATTTTTTTTCCAACAAATATCATTAAAAATTGACTTTGATTAAAAGTTAAATTTGTAATAGTCAGTTTGAGAAAGACTTGACTTGTTATATATTTCTTTCAAAGAACTTGGCTTAGTGTTCTCACTGGAAACAATACCTCCCACCAGCTTCATTGTATCCGTAAGAATAGCTCAATGGTCAGACATAAATATATTAAGTATGCTCATAGCATGAGCATATAAGACCTATCGCAGTATTCCAGTGTCTTTTCACTCTGATGAAACAATAATGCTGTCTACTACTATGCATATGATAATAATGATGATGATTATGATAATAATATTTATAATTGTCCTATGTAAAATGCATATAAATGGATTTAGGTTGCATGGTATAAATAATATATGATTGTGGAATGGAATATATTATCATCTTGGTACAGCCATATGTTGAAGTAGTTGGGATGTGATGATCAGAATAATAGAATCATCTTTTTAAATTGGTCACATCAATCCGGAATTGATTAAACAAAACGCAACAGGACAGGAAGAAAGCAGAGCAAGCTACCCAAATCAACAACACCGACTGTTCATACTGGCAAAAGCATGACTTATAAGTGATAAAAATGGAAGCTCCGAACGAGAATACTAATACAGTTTTACTGTATATCTGATCATCGGGTTGGGTTGAATTGAGTAATGGTATTGAAATAATAACCCGGACAATGCATTAAAAACAAGCATTAAGGATTTCCTTATACTTCTTTAGATATATTTACATTGATGAGAATGGAGAAAGGAGTTGATTAAATCTATACTTTTCTCAAGTTAAATGTATTCTAAATGCAACATGCTCAACTAACAAGACTGGTTGGTTGTGCTTACTGTGTCTGAATAGGAAAGGACCTGCTACTTTTCATTGAATTGAATATCATTTTTCATAAATTATACTAAGTTCAATAAATAAACAACAAGAAGGTCCCAAAATTTAAAGAAACAAATGATTAAAAAGCTAGGGCAAGGTTAACTAGTGATGCAACAGGACATTATGGGTCTGGTGTGGGGGCTCACTTTTCTGTTCTCTTTTTTTCCTTTTTCTTTTATATCTTTTCCGATTATTAAAATTCATTGTCTCTTGCCAGACAACCACATTCCCAATTGTTGGAGTGAGATGATATATCAAGGTGCGTCTGAATATAAATATAAAGCATTTACTTTAGCCATAGCCCACCTTGTGTCTTCTTTCCTTACCCTTTGAAATTTCTGAATTGTTTTGCATCTTTTCTTGTTCCCCATGGAAACTTCTCAGCCTATTTCCATTGAAAGCTTCTCTTACAGTTGGCTAGTGAACATGAAGCCATCTCTTGAAGCTTGTGTGGACGCATCAGATGAAGCTTCTTCCTTCATAGAAATGGATCCAAGAAATCCACCTTCCAAGAGGTTCTTCCAAAGGAACTCGCAGGAATTCAAGTTCGACTTCCCAGTTTCTCAGTCTCCTCTTGCTCTTGTTCATGCAGATGAGCTCTTCTCCAATGGCTACCTCACTCCTCTTTTTGCTGAATCCTTGAAGATGGAATCTTATAGTGATTCTGTTTCATCAACATCCAACCTAGTTCTTCCTTCTTCTTCCCCTTCTTCTTCAATAAACAGTATGGGTCCTAAAGCTCAGGCTTCTAGATGTTCTTCTTTGAAGAGGTGCAGGACATTGTCAAGGAGGATGTTTCAGAAGTATCTCAACTTTTTGAGGCCTCTGTGTAAAAGACTGAGGGGTCGTCATCAGAAATCGGGTTCAAATCATGAAGGTGCCGGCAAAAGAGGTTTTTATGAAACATCACCAAGAATCAGTGTTGCTTATTCTGCAGATGACTGGAGAAAGTCTTGTGACTCTGAGAGCTCAATCTATGAGGCTGTTCTTCATTGCAAAAGATCCATTGGTAAACACAAATTCAATAACAGAAAATTCATTCATGATTTTTCACTTAGTACCTTCAATTTAAAGCTAACATGATATTACACCATGGGCTCTATATAATCTTGTTAATCTTTACTTAACATGTAATTTATCGGTCTTTACATAATAACTTCAATCTTTGAATTGAAAATGGTCCATGGAAGAATAAACTATTCATTAGTAGTGTTCTGTAAAAACAAAAGTTGGTGGCACTTACATTAATTAACATTTGAACCAATTCTTTTTTTCGCAGAAAGGACTTGAGGAGTGGTGCAGAAGAAAGGAAGGATGATGACGAAATGTAAAGGAGAGAGAAAGAGAGGAGACAAAAGGGAAAAGAAAGAAAGAGAAGCAGTGGATTCAAATGGGGGCTGAAGAAGTAGACATTTTAGGAAGAGATTATGATGAGCTATTCATCACATGGTCTTTGTTCTTCTCTGCTGCTTTGAATGATAATGCCAAATTAATAATGAAACAGTACCAAATCCACGCAGATTAATTAAGAAAAAGGATTTATAAACATATATATTGCATTTTTTTTCTTTTATATCATCTTGTTGATAAGAAATCACTCTTACTACCCCACGTATCTGCTGCATTTGATGAATATAATCAGTATGTGAATTATACGTGATTTTGCAGTAGTAAAAGATTTTCCCAGAAACTTTATTTGCACCACGAAGCCTCAAAGCTCAAGCATCTGCTATTGAGAAAAGGAACAAGGAAGAATTAATCTTTTGGACTAATAGCCTAAATGATCCAATTATTGTTGCGTAAATTAATGTTTCAGAAATAAACTCTAATGTTTGTTAAATTGAAATATCCTTGTTAACTCTTTCATAATTAGGATAGGATGCAATATCAGCGGTATATTTTTTATATTTATTTGAACAATAATATATTCAATTAGTTTTAATTAATTGCCTCTATACGTCAAGACTCAAGATAGTAGGCCAACATCTCCCTATCTAGGCACGTGCTAAAAGTTCTATCTTTTAAAAGTTTTAATGATTAGTTTGTAAAATACTATCTCCACAGTGGCATGTTTTAAAAAGGCATCATAAAAGAGCACATAAGCATGTGATTTTGGCGATGGATATTTTTATTAGTGGTAAGAATATTATTATCATCATCTCGACACGCATTTAA